CAAGGTTTTCCACCTTGGGAGGAAAAATCTGCAGCATGCTTATAGGCTCGGTAGTGCTACGCTGGTTAGCACTACAGATGAAAGGGACTTGGGAGTCATGGTTGACCACAAGATGAACATGAGCCTTCAGTGTGATGCTGTGGCTAGTAAAGCGAGCAAAACACTGGCTTGCATCCATAGATGCTTCTCGAGCAGATCTCGGGACATCATTCTCCTGCTGTACTCGGCCTTGGTGAGGCCGCAACTGGAGTACTGCGTCCAGTTTTGAGCTCCACAATTCAAAAAGGACGTGGAGAAGCTTGAGAGGGTGCAGAGGAGAGCCACGCGCATGATCAGAGGTCAGGAAAACAGACCTTATGATGAAAGGCTGAAAGCAATGGGGCTATTCAGCCTGGAAAAGCGCAGGCTCAGGGGTGATCTGGTGGCCACCTATAAGCTTATCGGGGTGACCACCAGGATCTGGGGGAACAACTTCACCAGAGCCCCGCAAGGGATGACATGATCGAACGCTCACAAACTCCACTGTGACTAGTTCAGACTGGACATAAGAAAGAACTTCCTCACTTTTGAAAAGTTAACTTTCTTATCGGTTCAATCTAAGCAGTTTACACAAACCTGGAAAGATTGAAACAATTCTGCCTCAGGCTTTTTGACTGTCTGTCCTTTGTCTTCATGTAGATGTGCCCCAAATGAAGGAATCTGAACCCACAATCCCCAGCCTCCCAAAACAGTGCTCTAACCACCAGGTAGCAAGGTATTCAGAAAAGGACACTCTCTCTTCTGTTGACCCTGGTCCAACTTTGTATAACCATTCATGGACGCAGGGATTCTTGCCTATTAGGTGAGAGTCTTAAGCACCAGACTAAAATGCCATTCTCTCTCAATGGTCCACCTAAGGGCTAATGAGGCAGAGTCTGTGTTTTTAAGTAGCTTGCTATATCAGGTCTAACTTAATCACCTATTTGCTGTACAAACAAGGTTTTCATTATTATATACCAAATTTACACTGTGTAATTTTATAGTGTTTTCCTTGAATCAGATTTACAGTGTAACACTTGCATCCTTAACGACATCATTTGCTAGGATCTCCTTTTCAAGTTAGCCACAAATTTAGAAGAACATTCAAGGCTAAGGCCTGCAATATTTCCATTTTCAAAATCTCTAATGATTGGGCAACAGATCACAGGACTGAATGCATCAGAGACCAAAAGCTCACAAGAAAATTAGCACAGACAAGAAAAGGATTAATTTTCAGAAGTTTACCTTCATAGCTTCGAGAGCATAAATCATCTGTGGTTCCATAGACCTTCCACTTACTCTTAATGTTTGATCCATTGTACAGCATAATATTTTCTTCTTCTATGTCGTCAGAGTTAAAAAATAGATCTTCTCCTCTCAGTCCGAAAAGGCCCTCATTTCTGCATTCCCACAGCTGAAGTTCACTTGTTTTGTTACAAGGATACAGAGTAATGGCAACTTTTTCTTCCTTTGAAGTCACTCCCAAGCACATGCTGAATGCTATACTCATAAGCTGATGTTCAGAGACCCACCTGAATTTTTGGAATTCATTGTCCTTATGACAAGAGGCGGTTCTTACTGATCTTGAACTATAGACTTGTATACAATGCTTGTGGTATTCATTATAAATTAAAAATATCCCATTGTCTGTAAAACAAAAAATTAATTAAAAAAGTATATGTATGTGGTGTAGGTAGAGTGGAACTGAGAGACATTATTCTACTTTCTCTTTCCTTCACTTAAATTAGGAATATTTCCACAGAAACCAATTAATTATACAGGTACTAATGCAGCACCATCCTTTCCCCATACAATTATTGACCCAGTCCCATTTGAATTTAAAATAATGGAACCCATAACTTCTGTAACTATCCTTGACCACCCTTATAATGCTTCATCACATTTACACAGGAGTTTTAGGAAGGTGTCAATAATCTGTCCTGTGTCATGAAGGAAGTCAAACTGGATGATCATGAAGGCCCCTTCTGGTCTTAAAATCTATGATGCTTTTGTGAAAGGCACGTGTATAAAAGTATGGACCAGGCCAGTTAGATCCCTAAACCCCCCATAAACTTCACCTTGGAGTGATGCCATGAGACAGGAAAAAAAAATTCCCCAAACTTTGTGGCAGTCTTATTCATCAATATAGCTTCTATCCAACAATACGTTTTCTCTTAATCCTACAGTTAGGCAAAATATGCCCTTCTTAACATTCACAGCAAGAAACAGACTTCAGGAATTCTGAATATTGAAATAATATACTAAACTCTATCTTTCCTATCCTTCATAAAGACCTCAATAGAACACCAATGATGTATGAATCCGTAAATAGTGCATGCATCTGGAAGCCTCCTTATTAAATAAGAGCATTTTTATGAAAAAGAGCAATGGGTGATATGGCAACAATGTCCCACTCACAAGTGGTAGCAGTAGCACAACACGTAAAAGTAAAGGCTCCTCCAAATAGTATTCTACAGCAGATATTTCTTAAAACCCTTTAAAAAGAAAGGACAAAGGCTAGCAATACTATATTCACAGCAATAGTAGAGGATCTTTTCCCACACTTGTTCCAGCTTTGTTTACCAGTTACACTCCAGTTTACTTTTATTCAGCTGCCTAGTCCCATTGATTACAGTGGATCTGTTCATATTGATGCCCACAGTTAAGCACATATATAACTGCAAGATTAAGGCTTTCAGGCACACTGTAACAGACCATGAACTTCTCAAAGAATGCAAAAAAGCCCTTGCTCCAAAATAACCCCCCCACACACATTGCTTGATAAATGCTCCTAACTGAAGTGTTACGTTGGACACACATATATACGGTATATGTCATTTAAATTTTCAGAAGTGAAAATTTGTAAGATACAATTTATAACAGGAGTGGTCATGATATAGCCTCTGGGCCATATTTGGCCCACCAGTTGATCCTATCCAGCCCACTGGCCACTACCAGGAGCATGAGGAGGGACAGCTGCCCCCTCCACTGTGCTGCAGCAAGGGCTGGGCTCAGTCATGCAGCATGGACTCCTCTGCCCCCCACCACATCCATCCCCGCCCTCCACCCAGCTTACTGTTGGCACTGCAGATGCACAATCCTGGCACTGAAGCCACAAGCAGCCAGGCCCACATGGGACAGGACGTGATGCAACACCCTGAGTAGCCATCCTGCCCACCTGCCTCTGTGATGAGCTGCTGCTGCCACGATACCACTAGTCTGTGCCAGCCACAAGGACTCAGCCTGGGGCAGCCACCCCCAACTTTCCTGCTGTGGCAGGATGGCTGCAGTTCATCATGGCAGGCAGGCAAGGTGGCTACTTCACATGTTGCATTGTGCCCCATCCCATGCGGGCCCAGCTGCTAGGCTGCTAGGAGTGCGTAGCACCAACAGGGAGCTGGGCAGGGGGGTGGATGTGGGGAGGTAGAGGAATCTGCACACTTCATGCCCAGCCCAACTCTGGCCACAGCAGATTGGAGCAGTGCAGGACTCAGCTCTCCCTCCTCAGGCTCCTGGCAGTAGCTGGTGGGCTGGATAGGATCAACTGCACCCCCTACCCCTCAACAGCTCACCAAAACTCCTTAAGTGGCCCTCCGTACCAAATAATTGCCCATCCATGATTTATATAAAGTGTTTCAAGCTGGACACTCAAAAAAAATGTCAAAGCACATGTAAACATGAATCACTTTCAGAAAAATAATGTTCACTGTCTTTCTAAATATTTTTATGCATAAACACATTTGATATCTTTATAGTCCAGCTCCTTACCTATAAAGTTATTTCATTTTATAAGTCTATTTATGTACAAGGGACAGGGTCTCTTTTCTGAGTTGGTCAGTTTGCATGGGGAAGCAATTCCTTGTGATCACCAAAGTGGGCTTACACATAGGATGCCTGTCATGGATTTGGGAAGCATTCAAAGCCCAAGAATGATGGGTGTGAGACGAGGATACTTGCTTTGTGTTAGAGCCACACACAGAGACTTGAATGACTTAGCTCTGTTCAGTCAAAATTTGGAACTTGACTGTTGGAAGTTGCCCAATAGATTTCAGAACATATTTGGTCTTGAAATGATTTTTTTAAGTACCCTTTTTGCTTGCAAAGCTTAGCATTCCTGATAGTGGTAGTATTAAAAATTTGGATAATGCAGCTATATAGTGGTTGGTCATTGTATAACGGATATAAGAGACAACACAAGTGGAAGAAGGCTTCCTGAATCTTCTTTACATATGTACGGAAGATCTGCCATACACTACTAGCTTGTCTTGTACACACTACTAGCTATTTGGTCCTATTTATTGTTCCCTGTAAGATACTTATTTGAAAATCTCAGTTCTCTTTCAGAAACAAAAAGTTCCTAGTCCATTATGGCTAAGAATAAATTATTGAAAATGTGTTTTCAGTGCACCCTAAGGTTCAATAATAAAATGCAAAGGACAAGAATCCAAGAATATATTATTTAACCAAATCCCAGGTTGTTTAGCTTGAGATATAGGGGTCAATTATTGTCATAAATGTTTGCCAGTCAGGAAATGCAGAATTAAAATTCCCATCTCATATCCTCTTCTGCTTCTGCTCTCCTGTCAGCCCTGGTATGAATACTCATCATCCCTTTCCCTGCTATAATCCATCCAAAAGTTAATGACCAATAATAAATACATGGACACTTCAACAGAGACTCAGAATGCTTAAGGAAAAGCATGAGAAGCAATGCACTTTCATACCAATTTTTACGAGAGACAAACAAGAACTTACCCAGCAATTGCAAAGCACCACCAAAGAGAGAGAGAAAAGCCAAACATGTGAACAGAGTCATCACAGATATTTCATTCCTCTCTCCTTTTCTACCAAAAGATAAAATATATTTAAGTGCCATCAATCAAACCCTTCTGAAATGAGGCAGGCAACAGGTCCTCCTTAGTTTCACAGGGCTGATGGATGAGGAGAAAGCTCTCAGCTCTAAATAAGGAAGTAGCCTGTCACGTGTTGCTTTTTGAAAAAAACAAGAGATTTCAATTCAATTCCTAGGACTGTTTTTGTAGCAAAAAAAAAAGATTCCAAGGTTGAGTTTTTAAGTCTCTCAAACCTCAAATGAGTAAAATAGTATGTTTGGGGATTGGAGAGAGTAACAAGTGAATGCAACAGGATATGTGCAATTCTTAGCTAGTCAAAAGATATGATCACAGCTTTCTACCTGCCTCACTATATTTGATTTCTGTATATTGGAAATTGTCCTGAGAGAAGAGGAGCTCTAGCCATAGTTAATTTTAAAGTCTGAGTTGTTTCATTTGTTAGACAGAGTATAAGGAGGCTATACTGTATCACAAGTTCATACCATCAGGGAAAAAATGATCCCTAATAGAAACCAGGAAACAATTTCTATACTTTTAAAAAAGATGCTTAAAAAAAATCAAACAACCCTCTTAAAATAGTAGGAACTGAAACTATCAGAAAACCATCTGTTTCTTACATCTGGAGCAAATAGCATGTTAAGAGCTTGAACGCTACAGTTCTGAAGATCACAGGTACCCGTTTAGGACTTGTACGAATAGGGGGACCCTTGTTATATTTAGATTACTGGCCTTTGATCTGGCTTTTCTGAGCCTGCTGTCCTTGTGTAAAGGCCAAAAATGTCAAGTGGGTGTGACCTCACCTAACACTTAGAGGTAAGTCTGTTTCCTAGGGAAAAGGTGAAATTGTTGGGTTTTTAGAAAATAATTTTCCAAACTACTTAAAAAATGTCAATTTTAAAAATGAAATCTGAAAATGTTAACTCCCCACACTTATTCACCTTTCTTTCCTCCCCTTTTTAGTTACACCATAGAATATAACCCTTTTATCTGCACAGCTCTTACTAATTTGAACTCCACAGCTGCTTAGAAACCCCAAAGTGGAGGTATCATGGGTCAGTCTGCAAACCTGCACAGTCCTGGGATATTTGGGGCCCAGCCTGGAGACCAGTGAAGAGGGCTCTGTCTGTTCCCTGTGACCTATGCACAGTGTGCAGCAGTAGGCAACCTCTGTAGACATTGTCTGTTCCTAACTGCCCTAAGGGATCGTCTACCAATTTCCAACATCTGTAGTCTTCTAAAGTAAGGGGGTGCCTCCAGTTGTGCCTCTCAATACCATTTCCCTCAACAATAGCTACAAAAATAACACTAAATTACACTAACACCCATCTTTTTATTACAAAAGTATTAAAAGATAAATCAACTTCTCACAGGGAGAGGAATCTTTACCACTCGCTTTCCTATATCCCCTTTTCTGCAGCTTGCTTAAGAAGTCTCTGGGGTTTTCAGGAAGTTTCACTTCCTTCTCAGCCTGATGAAGTATCCAATCCAGTTTCTGATTTGTTTGTGGCAGGGGGTTTTTCTTCCAAATTTAGATAGATTTGTGTTCTTACACTAGGATCCAATTAACTCACACTTTTGGCAGCTGTGCTTCTACACATAGCACAAAGATCATTACTTATCAATTCCTGAGGCTGATTTTTAGGGCTGTTCGAAGCTTTGGGTGGTGATTCGATTTGGAGGAGATTTGGCCTGATTCAGTGGCCGAATCTCTGAATCCAAATCAAATCAGGGGACCAATGTAAACGTCTAAATCAATTCAAAGCTCCCCAAATCTTCAGAAAAGACTTGGAGAGTTTTGATGATTCAGACAGTCCCCAGTAGCTGCAGCAGGGAGCTGCAGCCAGACTCCGAGCTGGTAAGTACTAGGGGCGGGAGTGGGGGCTGTTGGACGGGGGAGGGGACCATGGGGGGGACCCCTGCCAGCCTCCCAACCTCCCCTCACACCTCCTACCCAACCTACCTCCCAGTACTTTAAAGAAAAGCCCCGGTGCTCACCGAGCGCTGCCAGGTGGGTAGGGTGATCCCTGCTGCTCCCCATGCCCCACGCTGCATGGGGGCCTCTGCCACGAGTCCCCCAACACCCCCTGCTCCCCCATCCCTGCCATGGGTGCCCTACCCAGGCCAGCTGTGGCCCTTCAAGAAAAAAAAGCTGAGAAAAGCCCCAGGACTCACCACTCCTGCAGCAGTCTTAGGGCTTCAGGGGTTCATACAGAGCCCCGCAATTGGCTCAGGGCAGCGGGAGGCAGTGGGGATCACCCCTGCTGGCAGGAGCAGTGAGTCTGGCGGGGAGGGGGGGCCATTTTTGTTTTTTGTCTTAAATGGCCAGAGCTGGCCCAGGCAGGGCACCCATGCAGGGGTTAGGGGAGCAGAGGGAGTCAGGGGGCTTGTACAGAGCCCCCCACGCAGTGTGGGGCAGTGCAGGGCAGCAGAGATCAGGGGGCAGCAGCCAAATCTCCAAATCAGATTCAGCCAAATTGAATCGGGACAGTGATTCAAATCACCGAATTGAATCACTGTCCCCTGAATCGGATGAATCCAAATCCAAAGCAAACACTAGCTGTTTTGTACAGGCCTACTGATTTTCTCTTTCTGCATGACAGTATTTGTATTTGTATCCCTAGGACATTTGCTGCCACAAGGACATGGTTGTTTCTTGTATATTGGAACAATTGCTTTCTTCCCACAAAAACTGTCCAGATTTGGGTCATGATGGCCAAAAGGACATCAGGAGGCTTGAGTGCTGTGTCTTCTTGTCATGCAAGCACACACTTACTAGATTCAGTTTTTGACAAGCTGCCAAACCTAAAAAGGATGTCACTTCCTGAGGTACAGTGAATGGGAGCATGTATGCTCTATTGTTATACCAAATGTTAGTAATGCATCTCACTTGCACTGGTACATATATTTGTTCCTGAATAGCCAGTTACTTTGATGCTTGTTGGACTCACTTTTGGTCTTAATTTTAATGTTCTATGTGTATATTCTGGTAAAATATTAACCTGAGCTTCGGTGTTCAATTTAAACAAAACCATTGTTCCTTGCACTTTCACTGGTAAAACCCAGTCCCTCTCACTGCTTTTTCTTGCTTCAGCTACATCTATACAAAATTCTTCTGATATGCTCTCAACTCTATGCTCTTTAGGTTTCTGTGTTTAGGCTCTTGCAGCAGTTGACATAATCATTCCTCTCGTTACAGTTAAACAAAGCTTTTCAAATGCAACACAAAGTTTGAGGCCATGCTGCTTTGTACACTTGCTGAACACTGTCGCACCCAGATGCCGGTGCACCCTTGACCTGCGAGCCTGGGTCGGTACGACCGGCTTGGCGCGAGGGGGGATTTATGACCGGACAGGTGGGTGTTAATGGCGAGCAGGAGGCAGATAGTCAGATGATTTAAAGCATATTGGTTACACAGAAAGTTTATTTTACTTACGCTACTCATGTGATGCAGCGTAGGCAGAGGAGTTGATTTATTCAGTTACAGCATGCAGAGATCATGTTACGCAGCATTTACAGGGTGGGTAAGAGAGTTGCTTGTTACAGATTCCGAGCGATTCACACAGGTTACTGCAGTTTGCGGACTATCGAGAGCTCTTGACGAAAGAGATAAGACGAGCGAGAAAGATAAGATGACACGAGCCGGCAAAAAACGGGGGTACGCCTGAATCAAGGTCGCAGGCGGAGAGATAAAGTTCGTGAATAGTTTTTTTTCACAAGCTGTACTTTCTGGGTGTGTACTCCGTTCCCTTGGGAATGCTCTGATTTCTTCGCTTTGGGCGGAAGTTCTTTCAAAATTATACAAGATAAGATAGCCAATTACTACACGCTAGGCATGACTAATTAACAAGCTGGCACTTGTACTGTCTTTGTTTGCTCAAGTTTCAGAAAAAAGGGGGGTTATTTTTTTTGCTTGGGTGGTACTGGTCCTGTTTAGTCACAGGAGGGCAAGCACAGCATATTATTTAATTTTACAACATCATTAAAGTCAGCCAATTTGGTATCTCATTACTATGGTTACAGTATCTTGTTAACGTCATAGCGCTTGAGTTATATACAATCCAAGGTTAACTTTTCTCTTGTATGGGAGCTCAAGCAATTTGAAATGAGGCACAGACAGGGATGTGTGCATGCAGCACTGTTACAAACTAAAGAATAATAGTGTGAGATTACAATTACAGAGTTTGCTGTGTTAGCCTCTGACTTTTTGCCCTTTTGCCATCGGCATCCGAAATCAAAGATTTTGATCTTTGACAAACACCAGCCTTTTTGCTCACTCTCTCTTACCAGTCTCATTGCCAATGAAATATTCCACTCCATGGATGTGTCCAGACGTGCATGGACATTTGGTTCCCTGGGGACAACTAGCAGGGGCACACTTTGTGCTGCCACTATCTGTCCCAGGGGAACACCTGTGCCACGCGCACTCTGGCATGCAACAAGTTACTTCGAGTGGGGTAAGAGAGGCTAGGCCCAGCACTGGGCTAGCCCCAGCAGTTTTATCTGACATCTTGGGGGCCTTCTGGGGCTGCAGCTGTGTTGCTCCTGCTGCACAGAGCCTGGCTGGCAGCAAAGTGTAGCATCAGCCGGTCAGCCTTCGGCTTTGGGCTGCACACACTGCCGCCGCATGCACCGCTCCACTTTTTTCCCTCACAGGTTTTTTTGGCCCCTGGATATCATGGGGTTCAAAATACCCTCCACACTGCTCCATTGCAGCACAGAGAACAACTGAATGTGCAGCATGTGGTGCCACAGACGTGTCTGCAGCACCGCATACCACACAGCCAAGCTCATCTGGACGTGTCTGTGAGGTGGCTTCTTACCAACAGAAAATTTTACCCTGTGAGGTATGTTTTCCTGACTGTAGTCTTTCTTCCTTACTGAGTACATAACTCTGTCTTGGTGCAATCAGCTCTACAGTCTGGGCCTTCAGTTTCAGCTGCCCTGGATATTTGGACCATCTTTTCTAGGGACAAATCTCCCTCATGCAATAGTTTTTCTTGTAATGAAGTATCTGCAATGCCACAAATAATCCTATCTAAGCAGAGATTCTGTCAAGTTTCCGAAAAGCACAGTTCGTACTCATTCTATTTAGTTCAGAAATATACTGATTTATACTTTCTCTTGGTGCTTGTATGCACATTATAAAAACCCTGTCTTTTCAGGGTTTTATTTTTTTGGTGTACAATACTCCAGAAATTTGTCATTTTTCTCTTCTGCCCCTGTGGCTACTAAGAGAAAACCTTTGTCTGACCATGCTTTGTCACAGCTCACACCTTTGTCTGAACACCTTCCAGTTCTCACCAAATTGCCTAACTTCAGATGGGTAGGTGGAGGTTGCAAAACTTTCCATCTCTACCTGTTCTTTTACTTATGACTACAACTGTGCAGGTAGATCACTTACAGTGGCCATTTTCCTTCTACTTGGCTGCATTTTTCCACTTGCTCTCAGTTTCCAACTTGTGTATTTGTTTGAATTTGTCAAATTCTTTCAAGTTGTTCCTCATTTGTCAATTCAGCTACCGTGCAGTGGTCACCAGGTTCAATAAACACAGACATAAGTGAATGAGATGAATTAAACGATAAACTTTATTGTGCAGCAGTAGGCAACCTCTGCAGACCCTTTGTCTGTCTCTAATTACAAGCAGACAAATGACCCTTTGTCTCTCTAATTATCCTGAAGGACCATTTCCCAATTCCCAGCTTTGGTAGTCTTCTAAATAAGGGAGTGTTTCTAAATTATAATTTCTATCACTACAAGGGCCAACTGCTACCTGAATCTGAATGAATTCTGGTTTATCCAGACAGAGCAAATTTACACCTGCTATTACCATATTTCCTTGCTTAACACATGTGCCCCCATTTCCAGCAGCTGATTTTTGGAAAAAAGGTTCATATATTATGCAAGAAAAATGGCATATTTTGTTAGTTATGTTCAGTCTGTTGGTGTTACTACATTCACCAAGCTTTAATTCTTTGCAATAAAATGGAAATGTTCACTGGTTACTATTTGCACCTTGCTGTCAGTTTGTATTTCCCTGGCTTTGAATTTGAATTTGGCAGATTCTTCTGCTTCAGAATGTGAATAAAGTTCAGGCGCATAAAAGAGTCCAAAATCAAGTCCTTTACCATAACTATATCTGACTTACATTCTATATAGTGATGTAAAAATTCACACCACTAAACAACTGTTTTCAAGTTCATAGCCTGAGGTGACATGTGACTGCAGACCACCCTACCAAATGTTTTTCATCTGATCTGAATATTCCTTTTAAAAAGATTAACTGCAGTAAATGTTTCTGGTCACAAGGCACTATAAAAATGCAAATCTATAAATATATCTAGTCTTTTAGGCTAAGACTTATCACTTTTTACATCAAAGTGTTATAAGGGCCTTGTTACATGGTAACTTCAGACAGTTTCTGGAGCTCTTAATCCCTTGACTGGCTGCACATTAGCACCTTTAGGTAACTTAGAGCACTTGTTATTTGGCTTAATGTTAAACCACTGCAGGGCAGGATTATCTCTAATCCACCCAATTTTGCTCCTGTTCCATCACTTTGTGGCCAGTCTCCACAGCTTTACCAATTTGAAGTTTATGCACATTTACCCAATTTGTAGTTTCCCAGCATTCCAGGAGGCAGTGGGCCCTCCTGAGTCAGAGCAAATGGGGGCACAGGGGTGCAGTGGAGCCAGGCACAGCACCTCGCCTCCCCAAGTACATCCAGCAGAGTGAGCAGCACAGCCCCAGGGTACCTGGTACTATGGTGCCTCCTGCTACTGCTGGGACTGGCTCTGCTCCCAGCAGGAGCTGAGTAAGGTGCTCCAAGTAGGGTGGGGTGGGGGGTACTACCTCCCTGCTGCTGCTCCAACTTGCTGAGTCCAATGAGCTCTGCCAAAGGCTAGAGCACAGCCCTGTGCAACACCACCTGGGATGGCAGTGAGTGCACGCTAATAGTATCACACTCAGTGGGATCCAAGGCAGGCGTTCAATAAAGAACTCTAACACATCCATCCAGGCTCAAATCAGAGCAGGATCCACCATTTTTAAAGCACTTTGTGCACCACAAACATCTCTTCTGTTATAGCTGTAAAGCACTTTTTGTACACTTAAAGCACTGTAACATCTATACCAAGCCTTAATAATTACTTCACGAAAATAAAGCAAAACAAAAAAATATATACTCTTTCAGTCATTCATATCTAAAAGAGGAAATATTTTAATCCAAACACAATTGAACTGTCACAAAATGCATAAAAATCAAATTATGTAAAGACATTTCTTGAAGCTAAGACCTTTGAAGTATGTCACTACATACTGCATCTACATACTGCAAAGATGTAATGCTGAACTAAGAAAAGCCCAGTACGAGGACATATTCAGTACACATTTTGAGGTTTTTCTGAACTGAATTTGTACAACAGTAGGCTGAAGTGAAATGCACTGTCAGCAGTCATGAAGTGCAATTTTGGAATGACATTTGCAGGACTCCAACAGAACTGGAGAGTTGGTTTTCTGAGTGCTTTGAAAAGTCTGTAACAGTTATTCTTGCAATGATGAACTTGGCTCTTTTTTCCACTAATAACAATGTAGATCCCTTATAGAAACTGGAATTGTTTGAATACCCATTCATGTGACTTGATGTTATATTGTGGCATTTGTTCAATGGCATCCCACAAAACTATTTTTAAGCAAGTACATCCAGAAACTTGCAAGACTACTAAAGAAATAATTGCTCCTGCTAGTACATAAAACAAATCTCACAGACTGTGAAATGACCTGCAATTTTCACAGGAATAAGTAGCTTTATCTTAAGCATTCTGGTGCTCCAGGTTTGTATCAAAATCAGGCACATTTTTACTTTATTAACTAAAGGATATCTTGTTCATTCTGCTCAATGTTAGCCACAAGATTATTTGACTCATTAGTATCAGAAACAGTTACTCTATTTTGATACAGAGAATTGTCAAAACCAGTATCAGTTTGTTGCTGGTTGTGTCTTCTGTAGAGAAAATAGATGGTGAGGCCAGCTCCTACTAGAATAAGGAAGACCAGAGTAACCACCATCCCACTTAATCGGTGTGTAGGTGCAGCTTCAATTTTTTCACCTCCTGTTAATGAACACAAAGTCATTACTGCAGAACCTAAGAATTATTATAATAAATATTAAGCAACTGAGACAACAAAGGTCTGATTTTCAAAAGTTCTCACCACCCTTACTTTTAACTGAAGTAATTGTAAATTGGGGGTGCTCAGAAGAAGATTAGGTAAAACATCTATACCTCTTTTTTTAAAAACAGAGTTAAAAACTCTGGGCTATGAAAGAAACAGACCTCAGTCATATTGCTTGAGTTTGCAATTACCACAGAGCATGAGGAGGTAGACAGGCAGCTGCCATGTGTCAGCTGTTCTACGTTACATCTGCCTTCTAACATAACTACCTGTACTTTGATCATTTGTCAATGCCTTGTATTTGCAATGTACAGATATGTTTCATGCCTAAAACTACAGAAGGTATTTAGACCAATATCCATTCAAAAGACAGTTAGAACATCTTAAGTCATCAGGAAATTCACTGTGAAGGGACAACCTTGAATTCAGACAGGTTTGAGTTATAACAATCATAGTAGTACTTAGCTCTGTGCATGATTACTTGAATTTGTCCAACAGTATTTTTGTCAGAAAATAATGAATACTTTGGTTAAAAGAAAATCATCTTACCTCCTGATTTTTGTGGTAACTTGGTTGGTTCTAATTCAGGAACTTTCAGAAAAAAAACAAAAAACAAAACAAAATGAAAAAAAGATATTCAGAACTTGTAAATCTCCCTTTTCCACCAAATTGTATAGTCATAAATAGTAAATTAATGAGTATACAACATAAATGTAGTGCAATGCATTACCACATTCATTATATAAATTTAAAATAAACTAATGGAGAAGCAAAAATATGTGAAATATGTTATTAACATTATACCCAAATGAACAGAGCAGTGTCATTAAAACTTACAGAGAAGTCAACCTGAATTTTTGTTTATGTTTGTTTCCATTCCCAAAAAATGTTTTGCCTTTTGATTTTAGGATATTTCAAAATGTCAAGACATTAAGAAATATTAAGAAACTGAATATTTTTCACTCTGTTTGCCACCCCACAAGATTTCCAGTAGACCCCTGACACACATTACCCTTAAGACATAACTAACTAGTTAATCACTTCTTAAGTTGTGATGTAGCCACACGTTCATTCAGTTGATGGCATGATGATAAAACCGGGAATAAGCCACAAAAGTTGCTATACATTTTTGTGTAATATATAAAATGCATGTAATAACTTTGTGCCTGGTTCCCATCACACCTTAAATAGAACTTGTGGCTAGTGCAACCAGCCTCAGGAGCACACCAGAGCCCTTCAAGACTCCGGTGTGCTCCTGCAGCTGGGAGCCCTGGTCAGCTGTCTGGGGCTTCCAGCTGAGGAAGCATACAGGAACCAATCTAGCTACTTGCCAGTACAGGGGCCCCAGGAGATCTCAGGCCATTACTAAACTGGAAGGAGCATTTGTTTTGGAAGCAAGATTCAAGCATCCACACACAATATCCTGCCCAGGGAAGCTGGTGCTTCAGGATCACCAAGTCAGTATTGGTAACATTGGCTTCAGCAGGGATGCTGGCTTTTGTGTGACAATCTTTCCAATTGATGTGGAGGATTTTTTGGAAGCATCATAGTGATCTCTCTCCAGGCTCTTGAAATGATAATAGTAGGTCACCCATGTTTCTTATCCATAGAGGAGTGGGAATGATGGCTGCATTTTAGACCTGGATCTTGGTGTCTTTCCAGAGACTGAGATGAATAAAGACATGCTGATGCAATTTCACAAAGGAGGCACTTGTACACCCGATCCTGTGCTGGATCTTCTCATCAATGTTCACTTTCTGAGACAGCTGGCTACCAAGGTAGGGGGAATACTTTGCTAACTCCAGGGTCTTTCCCTCAATCATAATTTGAGGAGAAGGTTCATATTCATGGCCTGGGGCAGGCTGATAGAGCACTTTTGTCTTCTGGATATTGAGAGAGGGCCAAAGTTTGTTAGGATTCTCCGAAAAGATCCAATGCAGTCTAGAGGTTTTCCTCACTGTGTGCAAAGTTAGTGCAGTCATCTGTATACTGAAGCTCAAGGATGGGGTGTGGGGAAGCGAGCACTTTGGTCTTTGACTAAGAATGTACCAGATTGAATACTAAATGGATGGAGAGCTCTTCAATGTTAATTAAAAAAGGAAGGAGACCATTAATGAGAATGAAGATGACTGTCAAAAAATGGAGAACAGAGTTGGAGCAATGACATATGCTTGCTTAACCTTAGTTTAGATGACAAACAGATCCATCTTTGATCCATTACATAGAACAGCCACAGTCGTCTGCTCTAGAAGAAGCCTCAGGACCTTGAGGTTCTTTTCCAAACATACAACTTTGGCCACTACTTTCCACAAGGCTTAGGAACTGACGGAATCAAAGGCTTTAATAAGGTCAATGAAGGCCATATACAGGTCCTGGTGTTGTTCCTGACATTTTTCTTGGACCTGGCAGGCAACATAAATCATGCCAATTGCCCCATGAAATGATCTGAAACCACACTGTGATTCTGGCAGAATTTCCCCAGCAAGAGGTAGAAGATGCTTCAGGTGGATGCAGGCAAGAATTTTCCACGATGTGGAAAGGAGGGCAATACTTTGATAGTTCCCTCACAAAGACTTATTTCCTCTCTTGAAGTTAGTCATTATGTTGGCATTCCTCATGTCTCCAGAGATATCTTTGTTGTTCCAAACACACAGAATAAATTTGTGGAGTCTCAGTACTAGTTCCTCACTACCAGCCTTGTAGATTTCAGCAGGTATGTCATTCAGTCCAGTAGCTTTGTTCTTCATTTCCTTAATAGCACACCAGACTTCTTCTAAGATAGGAGGGCTGGCAAGGGATCCCTTTTCAGGGTATTGGGGGAAGGATTTGATAGTGGTATCTGTTACAGTGAACCCATGGTTCAGAAGTGCCTCAAAGCACTCTTTCCATCTAGCTGAGATAGATTCATTGTCCTTGAGGAACGTCAAGCCATCCTACAATCACCAGAAAGTAGGACCATGGGAAGGTGGGCCATAGATAGTCTTCATTGCCCAGAAAAAGTTATGTATGTCATGCTTGTCAGCATAAAGCTGGATCTCTTGGGTTTATCTTGCCACCAATGGTTTTTGATTTCCCAGATCCTCCTTTGAACTTCTGCTTTGAAGAGCTGTTACTTCTCCTTCTTCTGCTGAAATGAAGTGTCATCTTGCCAAACAGAATGAGCCCTTCTCTTGTAGCTGAAGAGGGCTTAGATCTTGGTGTTGCTCTCATCAAACCAGTCTTGGCACTGATGGATGGTACAGCCAATGGATTCAGATCAGGCCATATGAACCCCTTCCTGAGTTCCTCAATATTGCATTCATTTGTGGATAGAGGAGAGAGCTTTCCATGGAGACACTGTTGAAGACATTACAGACCTTTGGGTCTTGAAGAGATTTGATGTTGAGAGTCCTTTGCATTGCTTTTGGCTGTTTTTGGTATTTTGGAACAAGCTGGATATTCATAAAGGATATGACAAGACAGTGATCTGTCCAGCATTCATTGGCTCCTTGCATGGGTCATGTAATATGGACATCCATTCAATCACATACCATAACAATAATATAGTCAAGGAGTTGCCAATGCTTAGAATGAAGGTGTCTCCACATAGTCTTGTATTTGTCACACTGTGTGAAGATCATGTTTGTGATGACAAGACCAAGCTCCATGCATTTGCTCAGGTAAAGGATGCCATTGGAGCTGGATTTCCCTGCCATTGGAGCTGGATTTCCCTACCTCTTTCTTCCCAATGATACAGTTCCAGGTCACATTGAACTCTGCTGCTGAATTCATTGAGGAGAATGATCTTGTCCTCCTTGTAAGTATTAGTTAGTATGTGCTCAAGATTGGAGTAGAATCAGCATCATGCCTTGGAGAAGTATACACAGATGGTGATGGTGTACTGGTTGTTGATGAGCTTAAGATGGAGGGTCATAAGACATTCATTAATACCCACAGAAAACTCCATAAGTTGGCTGATGAACTTATTCTTGATGGCTAAGCTGACACCATGAATCCATCTTTCCTGGTCCAGTTTCCCCTTCCAAAAGAAGGTGTAGCTTCCACCCTCTTCCCTCACCTAAATCTCTTGTGCTCATCTTGTTTCACTCAGAGCTACAATGTCAATGTTGTATCTCACTAGTTCCCTGGAGATGATGGCAATTCTTCTTTCTGGTCATGCATTGTCTTCATTATCTATCAAGTTGTGAATGTTATGCCACGCCCCCGCTCCCCCCAAAACCTCCCAGACACCTCAGACACCCCCCAGCAGCTGCAGAGCCCCCTGCCAACCCCCAGCACAGCCGGAGGCAAGTGGGGCTCATGGTGGGAAGGGGTTAACCCCTCTCTCTCTGAGTGGGAGGAGGTGGCTGCGTGGAGCCGGGGTTGGTCAAGCCCCCACCCAGGCCCCTACTTTGCCCAGCCCCCCAGGGAGCCACGCTACCGGAGCTGCGTGAACAGGCTGCGCAAACAGGAGCACTGTCTGCCAGCGCATGAGTTAGCATGGAGTTTGCGCAGGAGGGGGCTCAGGAGGGCCTGAGACCCTGCCTGCGAACCCACCAGGGTAGTCAGTCCCAGCCGTAGCCAGCCTACCAGAGGCATGACATGGATGGGCATACGCCGCACCCCGAGGGTCCTCTCAGGCTCTACGGCCCCCCACATTGGGCACCTCAGAGACAGCCACCCAGACGGAGCCCATGGTTCCAGGCTCCACACAGACGGAGCCCCTGGCTCTTGGCTGTGGGGGCTGCCTGTCCCTTTTTCAGGCTCTGGGGCCTGGGAGCATGGCCACCTCCCTGTGTGGGGTCTGCTCCCTATTGGGGTCTCTGGCACACCAGCTGGAGGAGCTCCAGGCCACAGTCCAGAGACTACGTCCTATCAGGGACTGTGAGCAGATTAACTCCTACTGCCAGGCCCTTCTCCCCCGGGAGCCAGAGGGTAGACCACTGTCTCCCTCCAGGACTAAGGAGGACTCCGGGACCTCCCACTCTGTCCAGTCTGACCAGTCAGGGGCATGGACCAAGGTGCAAAAGGGCCCTAAGGCCCGCCGCACCAAGGCCCCTGCCCTGCCG